GCCATGTCCCTATCATATTTAGCTAATCTTCCATGTTGATTTCTAAATCCTCCCCACAGTTTATCTTCTCCTCTGTTGTTCATCCCCTGACTTCCAAAGTTCACAACCTTTATGGTTTCATATATAACCCATCATAACACAAAACGTATTATCACCACGAAACCCTCCAGATCCTATGTTACTTCTTGCTGACCTATTTCTCTGGAAACATGAGCCATTATTTTCCATTTCGTGAAACAGGAAAGGAACCATAATTAACATCAAAACTTCCTCTACTATTACCCCTTTTTATTTCTTTTATTCTGCCTGGATTCATAAGCTTCATCAAAATCATCATCCATACCAGAATTGAGCTCTAGTTCATCATCTGGGCCAAAGCTTAATTCTCTACAAGCACCTCTAGCTTCTATGCCTTGAATCAGCAACATGACTGATTTCCAGTTAGGATGAATTGAAAGTTCTCCATCTGAATCAAAATTCGGCTCAGAATCAGAGAAACACCCCCCCCCCCCCCCAAAAAAAAAAAAAAGAGAGACCTGGTTTGTCTAACAATATTGGATTATCTCTTTATAGGAATGACCTGGGGTCCTCGGGGCCTGAGGCAGCTGAGGGAGTAATTTTGGGTTAAGGCATTCGGGTGGCTTGGAGATTGGTCTTGTGTTAAGGAAGGCTAGAGAGAGACTCAGGATAGTTGTGACCCAATGTCCCAAACAACTTGTGAATTATATTATGAAATCGTGGCTAATAAAATGGAATTTGAAATATACTTATTTTACTCCTAGAAATGTAAATGATGAAAGGTGGATCAAATCCAATAACATGCGCAAAGTGTAAAAAATAATGAATTGAATTTGGACCCTCCAAATTATATTAAACCCTACCAAATTTGTACTCGCAATCCCACACATAAAATGTGCAATAAGCAAGCATATGAGATTAGATAACCCAAAATTTTAACATAATTATGAAAGATTTATTGAGAGAGAGCATAATTATGAAAGATTTACTGTGAGAGAGAGAAAATAAAAGAAAACTTGAATCATTTCATAGATAAATGCCTAATCTTGT